TTTTAGAAGGGGCCATTTGAGAAAACAAAAGGAGCCCTTTGTTGTTGTTATCCTTTCCCCTAAAGTCCCAAAGATGACAAGAGACACATAATAAACTTTTTTTAAAAGGTGAGCCTCAAGGGATCTGACTAGAGGTGCCAAAGGTGTGAGTTCTGCCTTCCCTGTCTGGCCCAGGGTGACCCGCAGGCCAGCCTAGGGGGAGTGGCTGACTCTGGGGGCCCATGCATGTTTCCCCCCCAGGAGGGATGCCAGGAGGGGTGCTCTGTGAACCTGTGTGAAGCTGTTGATCCGATCTCCTGGACCCCCACCCTCCTGATACTCGCCTGCGTCTGTGTGATCAGAGCCCCTCATTCGCCCTGTCATACCCCTGCTGGCACTTAAATCTTAACTCATTATACGGATTGCCCTTCACTCGTCGGAACGTGTGCTCCAGGCAGGCGTGAAATTGGAGGGAATGCCCGTTTTCCTGTAACAGGGAGACAGAGGCCCAGGAAACTGCATATGTCCAGTTGTCTGTGTCCCTGGGCCCAGCTGAGCAGGTAGGAAGGACCAAAACTGCCATCTGGGGAGTTTTTGACCTTCAGCTTTCTCCAGCCTTCTCTCTCACCCACGCTGGTGAGCGTGGGGGCCAGGCTGCCTCCCCAGACCAGTAGCAGCAGCTGGTGGGACTCTGGGGCCGTGAGAGGACTGCTGGTCTGGTCCAGCTGCCCCGGGAGCTCTCAGGCTGATTGCGGCTTCCCGCACCACTTCAGGGCCCCAGGATGTCCTGGATGCCAGGACTGTCTTACGTTGGTGACACCAGGGTCACTTAGAGGGACTCAGCAGACAAGGCTGAGCCTGGTGAGGGAGGCAGCTCTAAGGACCCATCCACACATTGGTTTGGACTCTGCCTCTGAGGAGGAAGTGAGAACATGTTTGTTTCTGGAATCTTGACACCCTTGTTGTTTGCAGTAAATATGAGTGTCACTCGGGCAGTTCACAAGAGGAAATACAGCTACTGAATATGTGGCCCAAAGTCCTTAGTTTTACAGGTAAATATACTGGTAGTCAAAGAAGTGGAAATTAAAACTTTGGTCAGAGGGAAGGAACAAGCCCCAGAAGGGGCCACCATCCAGGCACAGCTCCCCGCCCTGGGCCTGGGAAGCCCCACCTGGTCGGTGGGCCTTCCTCTGAGGACTGTCCCGAGGAACTAAACTGACACACAGACAGACTGCCTTCCCCATGCTGGTGGTGTCCAGGGAGCAGAGATGCGGGAACCAGGCCTGGGAGCCGTTCAGCTGCACTCAGCAAGCCTGAGCTGGGTACCAAAGAGACAAGGCCCCAGGGAGCAAGAGATCCCCCAGGGCATGGAGTGAGTGGCCTGCGAGGGGTGTGGGAAAGCACTGTGTGCGACACACAGGGTGATGTGCATGGGGAGAAGGGTGCCACGGAGGTGCCCGTCTTCCCCCAACCCCCAGGTCGCCTGAGGAGTCGTACCTTTGTTTTTGCGTGAGGGAGAAAGCTTTGCGTGTTGCCTGGGTCTTGCTTCTGGCCATGTAAGCGTGACCCGGACTGGACATTGTCCACAGGGCCAGAGCCACCCTTCTTGTGTGGCTGGCCACTGGGTCCCCACGCGAGCACCCGTGCTCTGCCTTCCTTGGGGGCTCCAGGCCTCAGCTGAGTGGGGGCCCCACACCATCTCCCCAGGCCCCCGGCCCCTGTGGGGAGACAGAACTCTGCTCTGAGCACAAGGCAGCAGAACTTGGAGGGGTATGTCTCTCCTTCCCCCATGACCCTCTCCAGGTTGTCTGCTCAGTGAGGCCCGCGTCCTGGCTGTGGCCAGAAGCTTCGATGGAGGGCCTTCCGCAATTTGGGCGTATTCTGTCTACCCCTGCTGCTGCTCCCCCCCCTTTTTTTTTTAAAGATTTTATTTATGTGACCGACAGAGATCACAAGCAGGCAGAGAATCAGGCAGAGAGAGGGAGGAAGGGAAACCGGCCCCCCGCTGAGCAGAGAGCCCGACGTGGGGCTCGATCCCAGGACCCCGTGACCATGACCCGAGCCGAAGACAGAGGCACCAACCCACTGAGCCACCCAGGCGCCCCGCTGCTACCCCTTTTAAATTTATCTCCATATTCCTTGAGACCTGGGATATGGTTAGACTGACATCTCTGAGGTGTACGGTTACTATGGTTACTACGAGGCCCAAGGAAATGCTCCTAGTGTCCCGGGACTTGCCAGGCAGGAGTGCTGTGTGGCCAGCATCAGAGCAAAGTAGTCTGTGGGCAGCCAGCTTTGTCCTTGGATGCTCCAGCCTCAGCCTGGAGCAAGGCAAGCTGCTGTAGGCCCTGCTCCCTAAAACCGGCAGTCTGGGGCGGAGCCTGAGGGCTCAGCTCTGAGTCCCCTACCTGCAGGGACTCTCAGCCCACCCTGCAGACCCCCACCAGGCCTGCCCACTGAGCCCAGCTCCTTCCTTGCTGAGGTGCAGCCCCTCCCAGTCCCTTCCTAGGTGCAGGAGAAGTTCCCAGGCGCCAGATGGATCCCCTACTCAGGAATCAGGCCTGGGGCCCCCATGCTGCCTCCTCCAGGCAGGACACTGGCCAGCGTGGCGTGATGCACTCCGCACACCCATGCGTCTCTGCTCACTCAACTAGGGCCGGTGTTGGTGCCGTCAGAGGGCAGGGACCTCCAGAGCCTCACGTTGCGTCGCCAGTGTCTGGTGTGCTGGGCAACGGGCGTCCGACCACCCAGCACCTGATTCTTGCGGCCAAGCGCACCGAGGAGGCCGGAGCCGGCTCCCCATGAACTTGAGAAGCATGGCTTAGTTGAGTCTCTGTGTTTTGACTTCCCACTCTGGGAGAGCAGCTGGAGACTTAAGGTTTCCCTTTCACAGGACTTGGTCTTCCAGATGCTCAGCTTGGCATCACCAGCCACCCGATCTCTCGTGTATCTGAGGCAGCACGAGCTGTGGGAATTGTGCCTTTGAAACAGTTCGTCTTTGCCTTTAAGGACATACCAGGAGCCTTGCCTTTAAGGACATACCAGGAGCCCTGCAGGGCTGCCTCTGCCCTCCCAGGGCCCCCCAGGAAGAGCTGACTCCACCACCCCTTGGCTTAGTGAGACCACACTGTCTGAACTAGGGGAGAAAGGGACCTCTGCTGGCACTCGGCGGTGACAAGGCCCAGGGCTGGAAGCATGTGAAGCCCGGCGGGGAGGCTGCTGCTGCTGTCCCCTGCCCCTGCCAGCTTTGTACCTGAGAGTTGCTCACCAGGATTAGCCAAAAATGACTGCACCCAGGGGTGGTTATGGTGTGTGGTTTGGGCTCTGCCTTTCTGCCCATTTCTGTTCTCTGCTCTAGAGGTCTCTAAGCTGGAGATATCTGCTGGCCAGGTGCCACAGGCACACGAGAAGAGGAGCTAAGGGCTTGTAGCATGGAGCTGCCCAAGGCCAGGCCTCTAGCCCCACTTGCCGCCAGAGGGGGTTTGCGGGGCCTGCCCCGAGACCCTGAGCAGGGCTTGAGTCTGCCTTCTCGCTGCCTGCTCTGGAGGACATTCTACTGCCCAGCTCTGGGGACACAGGGCCACAGCCTATTCACACAGACCCAATTTGAGGGCAGGAGAGACGCATAAATCCATCACAAAGCACCATCCTGAGTATGGGCCTGTGGGAAGAGCCCGCCTGTGGGAGGGTGGGAACCCCCAGGTTCACAGAGAGAGTGAGAAGGAGCATTCCCTATCCCAGGAAGGGCCATGTGGGGACTCAGGAGGCTGTGGGCTCACTTGGGGCCCACAGGCGTGCTCCGCAGAGACTGAGACACACACGCACCCCGGCACTGCTGGGAAACATGTGCACAGGCTTCTTCTGTGAGAGGCCCGGGTTGTGTAGGTCCCCTGTCTTCCCCTAAGGGCCCGATGCCTTCAGAGGCTGTGAGGCCCTGTCGCGCTGTGTCTGCAACTACGGGTACAGTGACCTTCGATCATGCTCTGCTGTGTCTGTAAGGCATGCAGGCTCTAGGTGGGCTGGCTGGCTCCCCAGAGCCTGGCCCCTGCCATGGGGAAGGGTTGAGATCACTGTCCAGCGATGGGGTGCGCATACTCCTGGGTCATCGCTACTTCTAGATTTTTTCTGTGGTCAGAGCCATAGGAACTTCCTATTAAGAAAATGGAGAATGGGACGCCTGGGTGGCTCAGTGGGTTAAGCCGCTGCCTTCGGCTCAGGTCATGATCCCAGCGTCCTGGGATCGAGTCCCACATCGGGCTCCTTGCTCAGCAGGGAGCCTGCTTCTCCCTCTGCCTCTGCCTGCCACTCTATCTGCTTGTGCTCACTCTCGCACGCTCTCTCTCTCTCTCTCTCTCTCTGGCAAATAAATAAATAAAAAAAAACTTTAAAAAAAAAAAAAAAAAAAAAAAGAAAATGGAGAATGAATGAATTTCCAACTCAAACGTGACTTCACAGGGTTTTGCCTGTCTTCTTTGAATGGCTTATAAGCTTTATTGTCAGGATCTAATCATACAGTGGAAATATAGGTTGGCATAGTCTCCTGAGCGAATCATCTTTGTCTGTGCAGGTTATCAACCGCATATCCAATTTGGCCCCTGGGTTTCAGATTGTTTACAAATTATGGGGACTTTTTTTTCTTTTCCATTTTTCTTTTGTGTTGTTTGAATATGTGAACTACGTATATAATTAAAAAACCAAAATTGTATCACAGGACTTGTTTAGAGAAGTCTTGTCCTGGTCTGCTTCCTCCACCCCTTTCCTTTCCTTTCTGTTCCTCCTCATCCTGCTTCCTCCTCTTGTCAACTCTGTGCAAGTAACAGTGTGGGGCTGTGTGCGTGTGTGCTTTGGGCATCTGTGTGCGTGCGTGCGTGCGTGTGAGGCTGCAGAGGCCGACAGCCCCTTGACGCTGTTGTGCTTGATGGGCATGCCAAGTGGGCATGCTGAGAAGCGTTCTGATTCAACGGAGGAATCTCAGTGGGAACTGCTGAACGTCTTTGAGCCTTGCACTTTATTTCCTTCAGGTCGCATTCCAGAAACCAGAAGCCTGAATTTAGAGAAGGCTGGAGTACACACCAGCCCCACCAGTCAGAAGATCCTGGTCGATGCTCAGGAAACTACCTCCGTCCCCCACATTTATGCCATTGGAGATGTAGCAGAGGTACGGCCGGTACCTGCCACCTGGTGTCACCTCCCCGTCCCCCCACCCCAGCTGGGCCTCAGGGACCTGACGAGGCTCACAAAGGCTGTGGGCCAAACCCCAAGTACTACTGGTAGACTCAAGTGCTGGGAAGGATTGGGCACCAGCCTCTGCTTACTCGAATGTTTCTGTGGGGGGTGGGGGGCTGGGGGGAGGCTTAAAAACGAAGAGCACCATCAGCAAATCCCTCTTGTCCGCTCTGAGGGAGGGACATCTGTTTGCACACAACATGGGCCTCGACTTCCTGAAGGTGGGCTGACGGTACAGAGCCCTAGAGATGCTCCTGGTGGTCCAATCCTTGGGGCTGTCTGGCCCTGCAGCCCTGGGCGTGACCTCCTCACCTCAGTTTACCCTCTCATCTGAGGATGGGTCAGTACTGTCCCTGACTGGGCTGTCAGATGGGGACACAGCCCCACTCACCAGGCCTGCCTGCTCCTCCCCTTGTGAGTCCCTGGCAGAAGCCCTGCCCCCCAGCCTGGGAGGCATCTGGTCAGCATCCCTCCCCTCTTCATGGCCCTATCATGGCTGGTCAGTCATGGGACCCCTGCTCCCCCGACCACCTTCCCAAAGCCCCAGGAGCATTCGGCCTCTCCTATACATTTGCATCATGGCCTAAGGAAGGTGGCTCAGGTGGGGCCCTGGCCAAAGAAGCCTGAGAGATACACCAGGGCCCCCAGACCCCAGCAGGGCTCTTGCTGGCCAGTTCTACCAGCATCATCAACGTGTTAGTCCTGGGGCTGCCATTACAAATCACCACAAGCTGGGTGGCTTAGATTGATAGAACTGTATTCTTGCACATTCTGGAGGCCGGAAGTCTGTGTGGGCAGGGCTGGGCTGCCTCCGAAGCCTCTAGGGGAGGACACGTCGTCATCCATCAGGCAGTCCAGACTTGGAGCTACAGCACTCTCTGCCGGTCTGTGTGTGTGTGTGTGTGTGTGTGTGTGTGTGTATACACACGCACGCATGTGTGTCCTTGTTTCTTTCTTCTTAGGACCCTCATTGGATTTAGGGCTCACCCTAAGTGACCGATCCTAAATGGTCTCAATTCTTTCCTTAATTACATCTGCAAAGAGCCTCATTTCCAAACAAGGTCCCATTCTGAGGTTCCAGGCAGACATGAACTTGTGGGATGCCTTAAACCTGCTGTGATGTGTTCTAGCATCAGCCACTTTTCTGGGTTCTTTGACTGTTACAGGAACAGACAGAAGTCTTAGCTCTTATGGTGACACCCTGGTCGGAGTCACAGATTGACAAGTGAGTAAGTGAACTGTTTGAGGGAGATGTCAGAAGATGCTTAGTGTGGTGGTCAAGGGAGACCTGAGGGAGGAGTAGAGCGAGCTAGAGGCCCAAGCCAGCCCAGTAAGGATTCTCGTGCCTGCCCCAGGGTGTAAGCACTGCCCTGCCCCCACTCACCCCAGAGCCCACTTTGGGAAATGCCTGGGGGTGGAGGAGCCAGTATCTGTGGCAGGTGGGTCCCTGGGTGGGGCATCCCAGAGCTGAAGGAGAACAGGTGGCAGTTGTCCCCATCCTTCCCTCAACCTCTGCTGCAGCTTATGATGGCTGGGTCTTCCAGAGAGCCTGACACACTCATGGAGACAGACCAGGGCAGGAGCCCATGCAAGGCTGGGCTTTCCCTTTGTTCCTGAGGGGCCAGCCTACCCATCTGGCACAGGCCCATCTTGCAGACACTTGACTCCATACAGACCCCTCCTGCCAGGACAGCATGGCCCCTGCTGTGCCCCTTGTACCAGACGGATCACTCCCTAGCTGTGCTCCATGCTGGCATGTGAACCACAGGGCTGCCCCTTGAGTCCCTCAGGCTGCCCGTGGACCCAGGCTCATGAAATGGTACATGAGGGGGAGCAGACCACCAAGTGGAGACAGCCAGGGACAGCTTGCTGGAGCGTGTGCTCAGAGCTCCAGCCCATCCTCCCACCAAGTCCTATCTGACCATCCAATTGACCTGTTGGTGTGGACAGAAGTGAGTGGCTTCACGTGCCCACTGGACCGGGCAGTGCTGTTGCTCACGTGATCTCCGATGGTGGGGACGTGGCATTCTCTGGTGGCCCCTCTGTGTTCATCCTGTGTGCTGCACCCCAAGATAGCACCCATGGTCCTGGGAGAGAGTGCTGTGCGGATTATACCAGGCTTTCTGTACACCCCAGGAGCTGAGCGCAAACATAGAGGAAACCATAGTATTTCAGACTGTTTTGCCAGAAATAGTACACACAAAGGCGGCATCTATTGAAATATTAAATCCACTGAGTTGGAAAGGTCCTTCGGGGGCAGTCCAAAGAGTTAACACTAAACCAGTGGTCTGGTGTGCAGTGGGGAAGAGTCCCGTAGGCGGGCGGGGTGGCCATTGTCTGGTGACATATTGTGCTGCGCGCATGGACGTTTCCGCACTTAGTCAGGCCCGGTGGAATGCACGGGCTGCTTTCACGAGTTTATCTCTGCGGATCTCTATTCATTTCTGGAATGTCAAACAACATCTGCATTTCCTGCTGCTGCAGAGGTGATTGGCAGCCGGTCCCAGGCCGACGCGTGTAGGAACATGGGGGGCTGTGCACCACCACCACCACCCCCACCCTGGCTCCTGGAGCGGGATACACCCTGGGACGGAGGGGCCTCCAGCAGCAAGGCATTCGGATTTGGGATTTGTAATGGACGGTGACGTACAAGCCAAGCTGCACGTCAGGCACACACGAAATCCTTCCAGGGCCCTTTTAGCCTGAATCCCGGGTACTGCAGATGATTAAGTAGGAGCGGGTACTCCTTCGAGCTCTGTCCTGTGGGTAGCTCTCCAAGGTCACCAACATGAAGAAGGGGTTCAGAGGGAAGCCACAAGTCAGGGTGGGTGGTGTGGCGGGGCTCACTGGCAGCTCACCTGCTCTTCCAGGGATGGGGGCCATAACCACAGGTGGCCCCCCAGAGCAGGACAAGCCAACTGGCCCAGGGCTCTGCGCCCAGAGACAAACAGGCTTTGGAGGTTTTGGAGGGGGAGAAGCTTCACTAGGAGGCATGGGCGGTGGCAGGGGTCCTGTGGAGACTCCCCCAGACGTGCCGAAGTAACCCTGGGCTCCTCCCATGCATCAGGGGCGGCCTGAGCTGACACCCACGGCCATAATGGCAGGAAAGCTCCTGGCCCAGCGGCTGTGTGGTCAGTCCTCAGACGTGATGGATTACGACAACGTGAGTACCCTCTGCCCTTCAGTGAGCTGCATCCAGCCTGGAGACAAGGTAGCTCTGGGGGCGGGGGGGGGGGGGGGGCGTGCATGTGCCTGTGTGCATGCTCACAGGCATGTGGACCTCTGTGTGTGCACACACACTCCTGCATAAGGTTTAGCTTTGTGGGAGTGGCCTCTCAACCAGCAAGGGTAGCCCCCCACACTCCCTCTGGCAGGCTGCTAACTTGCACGGCTGGGGCCCTGGCCTGAGTGGGGATCTTCAGTGTTGGGTCCCCAGGCGTGTACCTCACTTGGGACTGGCTTTCCAGGTTCCCACCACCGTCTTTACCCCGCTGGAGTACGGCTGTGTGGGGCTCTCGGAGGAGGAGGCTGTGGCTCGCCACGGGGAGGAGCACGTGGAGGTATGTTGGGGCTCCAAGGACAGAGGGGTGCCAGGACACAATGCCTGTGTGGCGCTCACACCCTGACGACAGCCCCTCCCCAAGCCAGGCCTGGCGGACAAGTGGGAGCATTGGTGTCCCTGCTTCCTGGGGCCTGCAGTTTGTCAAAGTGGGGCGGGGGGCCCAGACTGCTGGCCAAGATATAGCATGGAGGGACACTTGGGACGGGAGTGCTGCAGGACAGCCCCAGAAACCAGGGCAGCATTGGGGTGTGGCCCCTCATGGGGCACGTGTCTCCCTCCACCTGGAAAGGCTCCGACTCTCCCAACCTTCTCTTGCCATCGGCTTCTGCTTCCAGCGTCCTGCCGCCCCCACCCTGCCACAGCCCAGCTGTGCCTTCAGGTACCCCCCACCTCCCTGCCACCCCGGTCTCTGTTCCTGATCTGCGATTCATCCAGCTCTCACAGGCCCCCAAAAACCCGGATTTAAGTACTCCCCCCAAAGGAAGACTGCCTCTTGAGTGTGCTCAGCCAGCTTGCCATGGCCCTGGGGTGGCCCCTGAGTGTATCCTAAATGGCCTGGCAGGAGCGGGGAAGCCGGAAGCCTCCAGCATGGCTTCATCTTGGTACTGCAACAGCTTGCCCCGGACCAGGAGAAACTAGCCCCCGTGTGGCCACCGCCACGGGCCTCGTACCCTCTGGGAATGAGTCACTGGGTTCCAAGGCCTGCCCCTTGCCCCAGCGCCCCGGTCCTCTCCATCAACGGGCCAGGCCTGACAGGCCAGCCTTCCCCCCAGCACTTTATTTGCTATTTTTGTTTGATTCATCACAAGTACATGGGGACATATGTTCGTGGCATTCTATAATGTTGTTTTATGTTTCACAATGTTGAATGGCCAAATACGCTTTGTTTGTTTTCTTTTCAATTCTGTCTTAGTTAGAACAATATTCTCTGAAGTTCCATTAATTAATAATGGCTGTGCAGCACATGTGAGGGCCCTGCTCATTTTTTACTCAGCCGCAGCCCCGAACACGCTGTCGAGCCCTTCTTGGGTGCTGAAAGCCTCTGGCCGACAGCTCCGGTGTGGGCCAGGGGCCTCCCCAGGCCTGCCTCCCCCTCCTTGCTCAAGTGAAGGCCCAGCCAGCACCAGGGTACCCTTGGGAGGCCACAGAGCCACTGGGTGGGCCGGGCACCCCCTTCCACTGCCCACCGTCACCCCATCTGCTCCACAGCATCCACCTGGTGTGACGCTCTGAGACTCGGGCTCTGTGACAAGACATGGTGGGCTCCACTTAGCCAGTCTGGGGCCCACTCTGCTACTGTGGTCCATGGCGGCCTTGGGCCTGGGTGGGAAAGGTTCTGTCTTGCAGACAGTGTGGCCCTGGCCAAAGGTTGGTTTTGTGTGGGAGCGAGAAGGGTGGTAATCACAGCCAACCCCACCATGTCCTTACCCCACACCACAACCTGGAGGCCACGTGGGCAGTTCTGGGTCCCCACCCCATCCCTGCAGCCCAGGAAGCTACTACTCCAGGAATTGGTATTTTGTCCCTTAGGTTTTTTTTTTTTTTAAACATTTTTTTAAAATTTTTTCTTCTCAAACAAGTTTTTTTTTTTTTTAAAGATTTTATTTATTTATTTGACAGACAGAAATCACAAGTAGGCAGAGAGGCAGGCAGAGAGAGGGGGGAGGCAGACTCCCTGCTGAGCAGAGAGCCCGATGCGGGGCTTGATCCCAGTACCCTGGGATCATGACCTGAGCTGAAGGCAGAGGCTTTAACCCACTGAGCCACCCAGGGGCCCCTCTTGTCCCTTAGGTTTATCACGCATATTATAAACCCTTGGAGTTCACAGTGGCTGAGCGGGATGCGTCCCAGTGTTACATAAAGGTGAGTGTCCTCGTGGGCCATGCCAGGAGGTGAGAGGCAAGGAAAGAGCTGGCACCCGGGGGTGGGGAAACTCCCTGCAATTGCCCATGCCCCCCCCCGCCCCCGCCCCTGCAGGCCCACCTGTTTAGCCCTAGGGCTCTATCGCTAGCCAGGTGGACCATTGACCGTGTGGCTTTCAGATGGTGTGCTTGCAGAAGCCCCCACAGCTGGTACTGGGCCTGCACTTCCTTGGCCCCAACGCAGGCGAAGTTACTCAAGGATTTGCTCTGGGGATCAAGTAAGTGGGGAGGGATGTTAGCGTTGTGCACTGTTTCGATGCCTGTGGCTCTGAAAGTTGGTGGCGCTGCAGTGGGAAGTCTGCGGCTGTGATGTTGCTCTTGGGTACCATCATCCGCCTGCTTGGCAGACCATCTCCTCAGACACGGCAGCTCCCGTCACAAGAGAGGCAGCTTTCTTCTCCAGCCAGCTCTTAAGCCAGCCATACTGTGTCAGTCTGTGTCCAGGCCACCTGGGGAGCCAGGGTAGAGGCCTGAGTCCCTGGCCATTGAGGGTGGATCCCAGTTTGGGTCTTCTCTACTTAGAATGAACAGGGCTGGGGCCCTCCTTCACGTGGCCCAGCACGCAGACAGTCACGAGCAAGGTCTGCTCGCTGCCCCGGGGCCGGCATGTGCTGTGCTTTGTGGGGTCCCGGGTCTCCAGGCTTGCCTGGCACTTTTGCTGCTGGAGGCTCTGGGTGGGGGTGGGTTGCGGGTCAGAGGGGTGTGGGGCTGTCAGAGGCAGGAGGGTGGAAGGCAAAGTGGAGCTGAGGGAACAGAGAAGGGCTGCATGGGCCACCCCACCATGTACTTGGGGCTTGGGGCCATGACCAAGATCTAGCCTCAGAGTCTGGTGGAGGTCTTAGGACAGGGTGGGAGGTCGAGGGGCAGGCCCCCTACCAGGAAGACTGATGGGGGCTATGAGGGACTAGTCCAGACACCCCAGGGGCACCCCTGGCTTCCTGGCAGGTAACAGTAATAATTTTAGGACAGAGCCAATAGAGAATGTGAATGGGCCATTCACAGGTAAAGAAAGTTAAAATAAATAGTAGAAAGATGCTGTGCATTGTTTGGAATTTTTAATGTAATTAAAACACTAAGAAACCATTTTGGTCAATGAGGGTTGAAAGGTTTGATAACGTCCAGTCTGGTGGTGATCATTTCCAGCACCTGCACTGTGGAGACACTGAAGGTTTGAGCAAATCAGGGGAGTGAGGGGACCCATGTTCAGAGATAGTCAGGAGGAGGGTGTGAACCGGACGCCCCCTATGGGGGCCTTCTGCCCACAGTTTGAAACACACATGCTTGTTCGAGTTGGAACTCACGCACTAGCTATTGTAACGTGTGTATAGATGGGAGGAGGGCTGTTTGTGGCGGCCCCTTCTGCTGACGGTAGCAGCGCCCTGCGGGGAGTCCTCACTTACTGTGCCTCCGAGGAGGGGCCCGGTGCCCCATGGGTGGTCGCCGCTGCAGGGGGAGGGGATGTGTGTGTGACAAGAGCTGGGTGCTGAGCAGAAGAGCACCGTGAGCAGGACCAGGCCAGGTCGGCGCAGGGCTTATCAAAGTGGGCTCGACCTAGCTTGCTGGGGCAGGTGGGGAGGGGGAGCAGGCCCACAGAAGGAGTAGCTGGAGCCATGGACCGAGGTAGGTCTGCTCCTGGTGGGCTGGGAGCAGTAGGAAGCCAGGATGGAGCAGGCAAGGGGGCCCCGGGGGAGGTGGGAGGTGGGCCTAAGGTGGGGCTGCTTGGCATTTGCTGGGAGACACATGGGAGACAGGTCCAGCAGAGGTGTGCATGGGTGTTCCTGGCTGCTGGCTGGAGAAGAGGGTAGTGGCCAGGCCTGGGGAGCAACAAGGAGACTGGGACTTCCAGGGCCCTCCCCATGTGCCATCTTCTGAGGGACGGGATGATGTGGACGTGCCACCCCGTGTGGACTCATCTCCTGAACCCCTCCCTCGCCCCCCTGTGTGCAGGTGTGGGGCCTCCTATGCGCAGGTGATGCGGACAGTGGGCATCCACCCCACCTGCGCTGAGGAGGTGACCAAGCTGCGTATCTCGAAGCGCTCGGGCCTGGACCCCACCGTGACGGGCTGCTGAGGGTAAGCAGCCATCCCTGCCCAGCCAAGGGCACGCGGCACGCCTGCAGCCCCCCACAGCCAGGTTCTTCGGAGGCTCAGATCCAGGTACACAGCTGGGGCAGCCTCTGGGTTTAAGGCTGGAAGCAGGGGTGGGGGGCAGGGGGGTGGTGGAGTGTCGCTGTAAATAGCTCTCTCCAGATACATGGGAGGCCACAGCCACCGTGCTACCTCAGACATGGGAGCCCTGCGCCCCAACTACAGGAGCTGAAGAAACAGGGCTGGGAAGGAGGCCCTGTGACGGCACCCCTCCCCCCCAACAGGACACCTTCCTTCCCCAGACACTGGCCTGGCTGCCGCTGGCCCCCAAATGCAGGAAATGTCTTGAGGCTGGGCTTACACCCTAGTGGCCTGTCTCGGCTCTGGGGGGAGGCTGGGGGACACTGGGCTGGCTGAGCTCAGTGGGCTGCTGGGTAGGAGAAGCAGGCCTCCCTTTCCAGCTTCACTCCATGCAGAGCAGCACCGGCTCGTTTCTCTGTCGCCCAGAAGGTGGAGATGCTGCCTTATGCACGGCAGTGGCCCACACATCTGGTTCTGTTAGAGCTTTGCAAAGTTTGGCCCAGCCGGGCAGCAGGCGGAAGCCTCGGGGTCTGTTCACCGCAGCCCTCCTCTGAGGAGGAAGAAATTAGTGAGTTCCTCCCTGACCCCTGCCAAAAGGTTGCATGTGGTCAGGGCCTATTCAGCTGGTCCTGTGAGAACATTCTGCAAGCTCTAGCAGCCCCGCCTGGGGTGTCCCCTGTAGCTGTCGGCCCCTCCCGGCTTTGGGGTACTGAGGGCTGAAGTAGAGTATAGACAGAGCAGGGAGCACCCCATGAGACACCCTCAACCAGGCCTGAGGGCCTGAATGGCCGCTGAAGGTCCCATGGATTTGGGCACAGGCCTGGGGCTTCCCTTGGGGGCATCCTGGGCACCCGCTGTCCTACAGCCTCCACAGCCAGGGCTACCCTTGATACGGACAAATGAAGGGCATCTTGAGGAAACTTCTTATCAGAATATCGTACCTAACAGCTGTTTTGTAAAGAGCCAGCTGTATGTTTTTATCATTTCAAAATAGTTTTTAATAGTGTAGCGTTCCCTGCGATGCATCAGTCTGGTGAGGGCGGGGGCTTTCTCTGGGGCCCATGTCTCACCTGTCCGCAGAGAATCCTTCTGTGTGTGGGCACGGGAGACATGGCCAGGCCAATGCAGGGATGGCGTGACTGTCCCATGCTGAGCACCCCCCCCCACTCTTGTAGGACACCAGAGGCTGAGCCCAGGCAAGCCTCACCCCTGGAGAGCCCCGGAGGTCGTCGGCGTGGGTGGCCTCTGGACGGACCGCCCGCGTGCCCCGCAGGGATGGCTCCAGGGCTTGTCAGCCCCTGCACCTCGCGCACCCTCCTGCCCGGGCCAGCCCCACCAGCCCCTGATGCCAGAAGATGACGGTGTGTGCAGAAACCCACCCTGTGGGCTGCCCACATCCGAGCTCTCCACCTGGTATTTCTGGAGTGTAAATAAAGAGGGTGTTTTCCTGAAGTGTGCCCCTACCTATGCTGTCCCTAACGCACCCCCAGGACGGCCCGGGTCGGGGTGGGGCCTGGCCGCCCCAGGCCTGTCACACACAAACCTATTCTCCTCCCCTCACAGTTGTCAGTCAGGGCACCACTCTTGAGCTGTCAGCATGCCCCACGACCCCTGCAGCCACACCTCAGAAGACCCTGACCCTTTCTCCCAGGTACAGGGAACAGAGCCGGCACCCGCCCCCACCACCCCACCCCCCCAGCCCTCTGCAGGGTCTACCTGCGCCTCACAGCAAGGCAGACACTCAGCAGGGGTGGGGAAGCCGCTGGCTTTGTTCCAGAGCTACCTGCCAGTGTTGTGGCCCGGTGACAGGAGCTGGCAGGGCTGTGGGAGGCTTTCTGTCCCTCGAACATCAGGCACCCCATTACATTTCCACCGTGGCCCTCCCAGCCGGCGTGTCTGCTGCGCTCGGGCTAATCCTGCCCATTGGGGCTTGACGGGCCCCAGGAGCGCCCTTCGGCACCGGGCCGCACCTGTCAGTCACTGCAGAGAGACAGCGATGACAGTGAGGGGCAGGGCCCTGCATTGTGCTGGGGCTTTAGCGGTGGTTAATCTCGTGTCTTCCTTAAGAAAACATCACTTAGTCTGCCCGCCCGGGAGCCCTGGATGGGACCCTGCTTGTCAGCGAACAAAGGAATGTCTTTGCACCTGATGGGCCTATGGGAGCCTCAGACGCTCGCTCGCCTGGTGCGAAGCGTGTGCAGGAGCTCTCAGACGCCCAGTGAAGACGCCAAGTGCAGGGCTGGGCCAGCGCCCTCCTGACAAGTGCAGCGTGAGACCAGCCGTGTCCCATTTAACGCACGGTTGGCGGCCACGCCCCTGCCTTGAAAGCTGTAGCTCGGGCTCCCCTCTGTGCCAGGAGGAGGTGTTCCCTTGCCTAGCAGGCACTGGGAGAGGTCCGCAGAGGTCAGCTAAAGCAGCTGAGCAGCTGGGGGTGGCAGGACAGGAGGGGCCCCCCGGAGCAGGGCTGGGCCCCTGCCATGGGACAAACATGGAGTTTGAAATGGCTCTGCTGCTTTTCGGGATGGGAGAAACGATGCAGCCCATGGGGGAGCTCTCAGCACACACCAGACAGTCTCTGGGGCTAGGACTTGCCACCTCCCTGCCCACCCCACCAGTCAGCCAGAGGGCCAGCCAGCCCTATGTCTGTGGTGCCATAAACCCCATCCCCCCAGCACCACCAGTGGTTTTCTCCATGTACCTTCTCCCTCAGGATGGGCCCTGCTCTGGCACACCTGCTGAGTCCATAATAACCACTCTCACACCATGTCTGGCCGGGTCACCCAGACTGTGCCTTCCCCTAGGACAGAAAGAAGCGTCTATGGTGCTGGGCCCCCGCCAGCCTCACTGTCCAATCATGCGAGGACTTGGGACAGCCCTTGTCAGGGATGCTGCCTGTGTGGTCCTGAGGCTTCACAGCCCCCGCCTCAGGCCCACTGACTCACTGGGCATGGCGGCTCTTGCCTTCCTGGTAAACTGTGGGTGGAGGCCTGGCCCAGTTCGCAAACAGTGGGCATTCCCAGCGAAGGCCTGCCACAGAAGGTCATCACCTGGGCCACTTTTGGGGACATATCCTGCGTCAGCATATGCCTGCCTGGCTGTGAGGTTCGGAACCCAGGGTGCCCTACATGCCCCCACTGCTCTGGTGAGGCCTAGCAGCCCAGGGTCCCCTGCCCAGCATTCAGGCAGGTAATGCACTGGGGTCTCCAGTCTGAGTTAAGAGCATGGGGAACCGGGCGGATGTGTTGGGCAATCGCCGTTTCTGTTCTGCACGTCCCAGGGACTGTCCAGGTCCAGACTCACCGTGTGGCCCAAGGCCTCCCTCCCTGGGCACACCCCTGTCCTGTCCTGCCTCCTCCCAAGGAACTCAGGGAGGGGCCAAAGTGGCACAGGCCGGGTGTTCTCCACCTGGCTCCGGGGCTACCTTCCCACCACCTTTGCCTATTTTTATGGTGCAATGAAAATATGATTTTAATTTCTCAGATTGTTCGTGTAACCTATAATTAGCCCAGCAATGCCCTGCGTGCTTCTACGTATGGCTCCAGATTTCGCAATGATGTTGGTTGGGGGGTGGGGGGAGTGCTGCCACTCAGGGGCCAAGCTACCCCTTCCCTTGCCTCCGCCTCTGCTGCAAAACAGAGCAGGTCACCCTCTGGTCACCCACCATCCCCCTCCTTCTAGCCCTGTGAGGTTCTGTCTCTAAAGGTCCTGAGGTCTCCAGGAAGGTGGGGATACAGAGAAGGGGTGACAAGTTACTATGGAGGGCTGGACCAGGAGCAAAGGGGCTCAGCAAGCAAGGAGCAGGTTGGGCCTGAGGAGGACATGTGGGGCTGATGGTGGGCTGCAAGAAGGGGGATCAGCCCCCAGAAGGTGGCCTGGATGCTCAGTCTGCAGGTCTCCAAACCTGGTCGCTGGTGCCCCCCACACCCCCCATATCCCATGGCCCTGCTGGGGCCGCCAGCTTTTTTGGGTAGCCAGCAGGGAACTCTCTCCCTACACATGCCTCAGCCGTGTTCTCATGTGGCCGGGGCGGCCTGGCTGGGGAAGCGACCACGGTGCCCAGCCAGGGGCCCTCACAGATGGAATTGCCCCATGAGAAACAGCTTGGCGTCAGATGGTGCCTGTGGTTTGGGGTGTCTGTGTTTGTGGCCTTAGGTCTGGACTTGCCCCTGAGGTCCCTGGGGTGGCTCATCTCCCAGTGTCTCGGCCACATGCCTCATCTCACCGGGCTCAGGCAGCAGCTCCAAGGTGTGGGCGGGGCTCTGGGCCGTGGACCCCTCCCCAGCCCGAAGCAGGCCCCAGGGGCAGGGCTGAGAACCTTGCCCCTGGCTCCCCGATGCATGCAGAGCTGTTGGGAGCTGCGCAGGTGGTCCGGGACCCTGTAAAACATGACACCCAAGTCAGCCAGGCAGTGTGCTCATTGGGAGCTGTGCCATTTCCAGATCCTTAGGGCCACCAGGCCCTGTCACTGAACCCTCCAAACCCTGTTCAGGCTTCAGGTGCCCAGCCCATTCGGGTCCGGGGGCTCCTTTGCACCGTGGGCTTATAGAATGCACAGGAAGTACACATGTAGGCATCTAGTTCTTCCAAGTATGCCATGTGAGGCTCCCTGGTGCTGGGCTGATGGTTGGGGTCTGGGCCAGGGTGTGGGCCAGACTGCCAGTGGCCATTCCTATCTCCCCAAGCTGGCACACTCCAATCCAGCCAAGTCTTCCATGTCCCAGACTTTTCCCACCCATCTCTGTGTCCCTCTGGG